CGGCTACTTGGTCCTGCTCGTGTAGTAGGTCCTGCTATTATACTGGGAACGATTATAAAAGAAAATATTAAATATATGCACAATCAAGAAAATCAAAGGTAGTTTTAGATATGAAGGAAAAAAAAAATAGTAATCTGTCATCCTTTCGACCACGAAATTTTTTAGAGCTTCAATTAACTTTATAGTCAGAATTCATTTCGTTAAATAATTTTGTCCTAGAAAGAAAAAATTAAAAAGATTTAACATTCCCAAAACATGAATAACAAACACACTCATTTCAAAACATAAATAAGCAGATTCAAAGATTCAACTTTTGTAAAGAAATGAGCCAAAAACACATGCCGCTTTAATGTATGAGCCAAAAGAACTTCTCGCTTTAGCAGCCCATAACCAACACCCCAAATTTGAGATATATTTGAGACTAAAAAATGTTTACATAGAAATGTCAAACAACACAGATCTCTAACCTGATCCTTGTGTGCATCTCGCCGTCATTCTTGTTGAAACTTCTGCATCAAAAGCACCAACAACCTCATCAATTCTAAAATAGCTACACTGGGAACATCTTTTGAATCTCTTCCCTCTTGACTTTATTGTAAACGCATCGCCGAATCAACATTCACAGGCACACCAAAAGCTGCCTAACAAAAGAAGAAGAAAAAACAAAACTTCACAAATTACCCAAATGAAATTCAACGAAAAATTCAAAAAAAAAATTGAAAATGAAAGCAGGAAAGAGTGAGAGTAGTGTACCTGGCCGATGTCCGATTCGTTATGGAGCTGGAGCATATCTCGGAATATGTTTAGGTCGGTGGAGTCGAGACTAGTTTTTCAGCTCCTCCAAAGGGCCTAAAGATTGTACTCCACCGACTCCTTCGAATTGGACCAGACCAATAGCGGCAAAAGGCTCAACAACATGTGCTCCATGGATCGTCCAGCTTTGCCATTGAAAAAAGAACGAAGAAGAAGACGACAACTGAAGTGAATAGAGGGAAAAGAATCAATATTTGAACAAATTAAATGTGCTGCATCAGGAGTTTTTGGATCCATTTATATATTAGATTTGCCTTAAAACATGACATATGAGAAAACAAATGATACCCAAATCTCAACATTAGTGTAGTAGATGAGTGAATAATATATGACAAAAAAATTCAATGGTGCATACTAAAAATGAGTGAATAGAGTAAGACAGAGTACACGAGTGACTTTGAAATGAATGAATTAAATTCCAAAAGTGAGTGACAAAGAATAACTAAGGTAGAAGCTTAACTACCCTATCAATTTTAAATTCAATGTCTGTTCACTTCACATGCCTTCACTTATATATTAAATTTTGTTCTAATTCAATGTATGTTCACTGCACGCTAACCTGTGTTTTGGCATACTCTTACTGGGATTTGGTCACAAAACTACAACCATTTTTATAAATTCCATAAGCCAACAATGGAAAATGAAAATCACGAAGCAACCTAGAAGGAGGCAGAAAACAAAAATCAAAGAACGGAACATTTGAGAACCAAAACGTTAAAAACAACACATACCCATTTCAAAGACCAAAAATCAGGCAAAGATAAAAAAATCCCAAAAATTCAGTATCTTAGCACTCCCTGCAAAAGGCCAAAATCAGAAAATTAGAAAAATAGAATTTGATAACATTATACTTTAAAAACACTAAAATTTCCAGTCAAAGGAAAAGTAATACCTCTGCAAAAAAAAAAAAAAAAAAAAAGCAGGAGATAAAAACTCAAATCGCAAAAAATAAAATCAGCAAAATAAATGCTATAGCTTAATAAAAATTTAGGAGAAGGGTAAGATTGGATACACAAAAAGAGGGTGGCCTTGTATTTCTGCTACTCTGAAATGCAATCCTTATTGTCCCAGGGCCCTTCAAACTTCTCTGAGTAACACCTGCACACAGAAACAATATCCATTTACCGTATTCAGAAATTGAAAAATGGATTTTAGAGAGAGGAGAGATAATTAGGGTTTAAGAGTAATCGTGGAAACTAATTGTGCTGAGATGAAGCAATTGTGGTCCGCATCTTCACACAACAAATTGGAACGTGGGATTGCATACATTTGCTGTTTTAATAGTAACTAGCAGTCATTCAAAATTTACCAGTCACAATTAGAGCTTAAGTGATACCTTGATTACAATCATCAATACGCATGCTCACATGCTAAGACCTAAACCCTAAATCATTCGGATCCTTCTGTTTCTCCTCCTTGGAGACTCTGATTTAAGTAAAATCAAACATTCAAACAACTCATCTCTCACTTTTGATTGGTACCAAATGAAAGTCAATAATACTTATTTGTAATTTAATCAATAAAAAATTAAACGCTTGAATCAAAAAGTAAGAAATTAAGAGAGGAATGGAGAAATACTTGGAATGGAATAAGTGAATCGTAGATGAAGGAGTATATGTTTTAATTTCTATTTCCAAACCAGAACCAAACCAATTTGGGACAAAAATGAACAATGCTTTCAATTTTTTTCAAGAATTTAACAATTGACCTAAATCAAAATATTAAGAGGCGAAGAGCTTACGTATGTATGAGCTGAATGAAACTGGAGATTTTTTTGTGCTTGAAATCGCTAGGGAGCAGAACCTGAGCTAACTCGCAAGAAGAGAGATGGAGCAGGAGTAGCAGACAGGGAAGAGGTAAAGGGAGTCGATCCAAAAGTCGGGATCGATGATGTTCTTTCAGTCGACGACGGCCTTGGTTCGGCTCGAATCTGACGAATCCCCTTTAACATCGTTCGTCGGAGGTTAGGTTGTTGGTTTTGCAGAGTCGCCTGAAACTGGGCTTGCTGATTTGTCAACATCCTCACCCGATTTCTGAGCTTCTTCTTCTTCTCTGGTTTTTAGGGTTCATTCGACTTGGCGTATCAGACTTCTGAGCTTCTTCTTCTATCATCGTAATTCTGCAAGCCGCAGGCTCTCTCTCCCTCTCTGCCCGTTTTGTCCCCCTCCCCTCTTTCTCCCCGATTAAAACCTGAGATGCAGCGGCTGAAAATCGAGTCTTAAGCTTGAGTGGCATTTTTGTAAATAAAGCGAAAGTTGGCTAAAAGCGTCCGAGTGGTAGTCTTGTAAATAAACTGAAATGTGGTTTAAAACACTATTCATTGGTACAGTGCAATTGAAAAGCCTTCTTTAGACTAAAGTAATTGGGGATACCTCACTTTAAAGGCCTGTTACATATAATATTTACAACATTGACATTTGTACGGGGAAATGCTGATTTCTTCTACTTTGTACACTCATTGAATTATCACAATATTAATTCAACGGCTAAATGAGTTTGAGTTTAGTAATATTTTGCATGAATGTTCATGAGGGATGGCTTACCGTTTCGATTATGGTACAACATTACATAAATTGATGAAGAATGAAGAAAAAAATAGAAATATGTGCAGCATAGAGAAGGGTCGATAGTCTAATACCGATATTGCTTCCAGCATAGGTACCTTTTATATTGAGAGAAAAGCATCAGTTCTTAAAAATATGTCATGGTAACACTGGTGGAATTGCATGTTGGGTATGGCTAACATTTTGCAAGTTTGTCTACGGAAGTGAAAGAGGTACACTAGTTGACGCATTGTGTGTTCTAAGATCCTTACATGGTAACGGTGCTTTGCTCGAATCTGGTGGCAGAAAGCTTAAATAACAGCAATTAGTGCAAAATCGACAATCCACTATCCTGCTATTAGTGTTTACCATGACAGTAGCACATACACAAGGGCATTTGTCTAGGGTTTATAGAGCTTCTCTGGGAAGGGTACCGTTTGGGCCTAACTTACACTATGATATGGTATACCTATTAGCATCCATGATCACAAATGGCTCTTGGCATACTGTTGAAGTCCCATTGTTTACAGCTCACAGCCAGTGCTAGAAACCTGATTGCCAGGGATACTGTTTGTCGACTTACACTAATTTGGTTGAGCTATATATGGTAGTATAATGCATGAGTTCTGACATCAGAGGCACTGCTTTTGATTTGATCGAAAATGCCACCAATCAAGGTTGTTTGGATGGCAGATGCATTGAGGGGCCGCGCCAGGGAAGGGTCAGCTGCCCCTTCCCCCGGAACTTTGGTAAATATCCATAGATACTTTGGGTGCTGACCCTTCGAACGATGAACGTCTATGGATACCTTGAATGCTGCCTTTTTCAAGATTAGAGTTAACTTCATATATGCCTTTCAACTGTTTGATAAAATGTCTGAAAGAAAAGTGAATAAAATGGTGATCTCAGTGAATAACAAAGCATCATCATTCTTGGACAAACATATGAATAGGATGCAATGATATCAAACATTCTTAGTGTGTTCAAGATAAGTGTGTTTCTTTGTTAAACATTCATATGAGAGTAGCCTTGGAACATGTTAGTTACCCTTGCAAATGAAGCATTAACAAGTGTGCAGTATGCCCTTTCAAATGACTTCAGGCCTATCAAGACTCAATGAAATGACAATATGCATGCTATTTTTGGTAAAAAAAAAATTGCACTTTGCATGTGCTATTCTTACTGACCCCCCTAATATTATTTCCTGGATCTGCCACTTAATGCCAAGTATGGCTGGCACTTACCATCCAGAATATATCTTTTTTGTGTCGTGTTATTGGAGACGGAGATGACTTCACATACTGCTATCAAGGTTGTAAAGATTATCATTTAGATATTTGAGGAAGCATGACTGTCTAGTTTCCGCAGCTGTTGTCCTGATTCCTGAAGCTGTTCTCAGGAATTTCTGTTGTAGGCAAGATAATATGCAGTACATGCATCTCAACCTCATGAGTCCAGTGATTGAAGAGGTATCTTCTTTGGGAAAGTTATTGATTTTTCCTCTTCCATTAATGTCATAATGTACAGACAAGTAGTAAATGAAACTTGATGTGCTCAATTTTTGTCACTTCACCTTTTATATACATGTTCCACATTGTATGATTCTCCCATTCTTTGTTTTATGTTTGTTTTCTGATAAGTTTTCTAGAAAAATGAAATAATACCTTTAGATTCTGCTGTTATATGTTACAAATTACAAGCATAGTTATCAGCATTTGTTCAAAGACTTGCACAAAATCTGTTTTACAAAATGCTGTAGTGACTGAGAGGCATTCCACCGTCCCACACTACGCTTCCCTCCCCATCTATTTGTAGGTGCTACTGGATTTTCCTTAAACAACATTGGCATTTGTACCACTACGTTTTTTTGTAATACAATTTTGTATAATATAGAATGGCATATGAAATATGATTTTATCTTTTGCCTTTTAAGCATCACTTAAGTAGATCCTCCCATTTGTAGTACTGTCCACCTGCTAATGCACGATAAAACCTATCTCGGCAGTAGATTGGTCTTCCATCAGCAGCCTCAGTAGCTGCTGCTGCTAGATCATCATTGGCCTTCACGTCTGTTAGTAGTTTAAGTAACTCCTCTTTACTGCAAGATTAACATTCAGAGAACAAAGTAGAAAAATAGTATGTATATATTTGATCATAGGGTAGGAATCTCTATTCATCTATAAAACCTTATATTGAGCTTTGAGCTGATCTTTGAGGCGGAAACACTTGATGGGTTTTGTTTTGTGCCGAATGTGGTGTGAATGAAATCCTTCACCGGTGTAGCAAAGATAAATAACAGCACTCCTGTAACAAGTAATGCTCCTGTTCCCACTAGAGTCTGCTTCAGCAATTTGATGACCGGTTTAACCTGCATGCATGAAATATCAAACCTTCATATAAAATCTCATATTCATCTTTTACTAGGTTACATTTTGATAGTTTTCACGCGTTTCAGTTTCCGGTTACTATTACCTTGTAAGAGCCCAATAATCTGTCACGAGCTAGGACTTACGAGGAAATTTTTGAGCAGTTAGTTTTTAATTACCAAACCATACGCAAGGGTGATTCCTGCATTAATCTATATGAGTAGCAGAGTGAAGGTGAAGGATGATCTTATGTCCACCTTCCTTCCATATTCATTTTGCTTATTAACTCAACCGGACAGCTCCTAGAATGAACTGATCTTGATTAATGGTATCTGAAAATTCTTAACTATGGGTGACTATTTACTTTGTTTTTCTGTATCTCAAATTAACAGATGCTTCACTTAGGTCTGTTGATATCATTTATTCAGTGATTGTTGGCAACGAGGTGAAACGAGTGTGGTACGACATAGTAGATGAATAATCACAGAATATTGTGGAAGTACTTACCCTGTTCCTCAGTTCAGCATATCCTTACAAGGTGCTCTCTTGTTGCGTGATGTTTAGTTTTCTCAGTAATCCAATGATGAAATTTACTGATACTCCCTCGATAATTTCTGCCTAATTTATGGGTTACCATGGGCAAATGGAGTGTTCTAACCTTTGATTGATTCTTCTCTTTTCATTCATATTATGTAGTACATAGACCTTTTATATGAATTGTTTAAGTTGCTTAATGACCAATTTTAGATATCTTCAAATTTGCACTGTCTCCAATGACCCTTCTTAGTTAATATTTGACATACATATGCACATAGACACCACACAGATGGACATAGTCCGACTCTTGGAAACTTTGTTCTAGTATTAACCCTAGTGATAAGCGACATGATACAATTTCCGTAGCATAATCAAATTTTTGAAGTTTTGATGTAGAGGCAATATGTGCATAAACGTTAAGGCTTATGTGATCAGTTAATATCATTGAACGTTAAGGCTTATATGATCAGTTAATATGTTTGAACGTTAAGGCTTATGTGATTAGTTAAGTTCTTTGAATTTCATCATACCTTGATCCTTATTAACTGAGAAAGGATAAGGTGAAGGGTGCTAACCTCATGTGGCTTTACCCACATTTGTCCGTCATACCAGCCACTCTTTTCGTAAGGTATAACTGCTGATAGTAACCTATCACCAATATAGCTCCATCCCTGCAGGACGGTAATTATATGATTTACTTGCTTTAAAGATTCTACAATGAGAGACGTTCTACTGAACAAATATTAAGCATGAAATTTGCTTGGATGTGATTGTTTTTCTTTTTTATTGCTTACAATACTACTGTTTAATGCCTCAATATGAAATTTCAAGCCTTGCATTTTTTTTCGTGCAATCTATACATACCGAGGAACTGTAGTAATATATGTTCTCTGGTATTTGGGACTGGTGGAATTGAATCCATGGCTGTCAGCGTTACAGCAGACCATGTAGTGGCTGTCTTTTTTTTTTAAGTTTTGGTTGTGAGGTTTTCTTAGTGCTCAATACAAAACTTTCACTCATGCACTGTAGTAGTGATTGTAAGATGAAGTAAGCTAAAAACCATACCAGATAAATTCTTAAGACAATCAACAACACAACAAAAAGAGTTCCAGTTCCAGCTGCTAGCGCAAATCTTAGAGGGTCCTGCAAGGTTGGAACGCAGAAAGTAAAGACAAATGAATTACCTCTTGCTGGGGTAGATGTATATTTCCTATTTAACTTGTTTAGTAGCATGTCAGTAATTCTGTATGTGATTTTGATGACTGTTTGAGTATAGCCTTAGCCTTAGGCATGGAAGCACAAAGAACATTATCTTCTGGTTTCGGAAACCTGGTGGTGCCGAGACATTAATCTTTTTTGCTTTCTATACATATATTATGATATTGGCCAAGCAAAATATGTTATTGCTATGGAAGCATGCACAACTACAAGGGGGATGTTCAGTACTGATTCTCATCATATCCACATATATTTTCTGATGTTGACTACCAAATGCGCAATATCTGTATCTTACCCTTGATGGATTGAAGCTTGTAGCTGCAATAGGCAATCCTAGAGTTGTGAAGGTTACCAACCACAAACCTCCAAGTCGAAGTAAAAAAGGCCCAGGTCCCAGTTCGCCCCACGAGTACAAGACTCCATCCTTCAGAGCGAGTACTCATTCACCTATCATGGCATCAAATTATTGTAAGTACTGATTTTTTATGGCATATATATTGTAATTGCATGGCATGATGCGCGGGGATCTATTAGTTTTGTTTGTGGATTTTCTTTGCTGCTCAATGGGTGGGGTGCATAATAAGGGATTCAATCACCTACTTGCTTTGATTCAATCCCATGACTTAAAGTGCGGATAGAGGTTACTCTGCTGTAAGAGCTAGAAGTTTGTTTTGAACTGCGGATAGAGGTCACTCTCATACTCATTCCTCTTGGTTATGTGTCCTTTAATATTTTCTGATTTAGAAAACTAATATCTCAATTTGTTATCCTGAAGTAGTGAACCGCGAGTTATTATCGACTGGACCTAGCTAAGGGCAACGTGTGCCTTCTGAATTCTCTGTTGAACGATGGAGGAGCGAGAGTATTGACAAAGTAGACGGAGAAAGTGAAAACTTACCGGCCTTTGCTCAAAAGGAACCTCAATTCTGACCCGGGATCTTAACTCTGCCCGCGGAAGCCGCTCGTTTCCCCACCTACCCCATCTTTCAAGGCCTTGACAGAAACCTCATTGGGCAGCTTCTGAGCACTACGGTATTGGATTAGCCATGAGCTAGAGTTGCTACCAACCTTCACTAACTTGAATTGTGGAGGACTAAAGAGTAGAGAACAATACACCTGCGCCCGGAGCATTTATTTCCTAGAAATCAAACCGAACTGGAGCGCGGCCGAGGGATATTCAAAGTTTCTTTGTTCAACGGGCACGAAATCGGGGAAGGAGACGAGTGTTTATTCAGGGATGGTTGTGTTTTTTCAGGGACCATGCATTATTTACGTGGAGGAAAACCACTGATTCAGAAAATCATATTTGTAATTTACTTGGAGGGGAAGGGTTTGTTTGGATAATGACCAAAAGCCAGGTAGGCAAAATGTGTGATATTTAAAGACTTACATTCCAAGGAGAGACCCACACAATTGGACATGTGTGCAAGCTCTCCTTTGTGTGTGTGTACTTTTGGACCATCCATTATGTAGGCTTGAGAATCGGATTATCCAAATGTTAGGGACTTTGGAAAAATAATTTGTTCTTGTGTGGAAAGTGTGTTGGGGATGTTGATAGTGCAAATGCAATGTGGAAGTCTTACCCTTCCATGCAGTTTTGTGTGGATTCCTCATGCTTTTCATAGGGTGGAGTAAGCGGCCAATAGCTCAATTCACTTGTTAAGAGTGTTTAGTAGCTCAGGTCACTTTTTAAGAGCATTTACTTCTATCCAGATGTATTTAGTTTGAATCTGTCTCGCCAAGTATTGATTGTATCACAACAAAAGAGGTTGGAAGTTCAACCTAACAAAGGGAATTCTAGGGTGTTATCGGGTATATTTCCCCATTAGTGTTTATGTTATCACACGACACTTGCCATATATATAATTTTCTTCTGTAACATATGTATAATTTTAGTGGCATCGCCTATTCAATGAAGACTCAGAATCCATCCATCTAATAAAAGAAATAATTACCACAGTAAAAAAGAGAAAAAAGGAGTTCAACGAACGATGAGTAGAACAAAGAATTAATGGGATATATATGATATTGCCCTTGTGAATGTCACGTAGGCTACCTTTTCTAGTAGAATGTCTTAGGCACTCAATTGGTGCACTTTTCTTACTAATGTCCTTCTCTCATTTTTTTCTACTTTTCCTTTTCCATGGTTGTTTTTAAGGGGAGAGGATCCTCTCCGGATTCACTTGTTAGGAATGTCGGTACTACAAGATAGAGAATGCACAAAGTAAAGTAGAAAATGGACACCAAGAATTTAAGTGGTTCGGCAATTTGTGCCTACATCCACGGAACAACGATCAATCTTCACTATATGAAAATGATGAGTACAACAAGAGTAGTCTTACCAAGCCAAAGACAAGGCTTGATGGATACAAGAAAGTATAACAACACTTTCTCTCACACTAAACTTCACTCACACAATGTGTAGTGGAACACTCTCAGTCTCAGACTTGAAGTGGAACAACTTTTATAACCCTCACACTTAGAGGATAACACTTTTACTTCGGTTTCACTTCAAAATACATACAGACATGCAACCCTATTTATAATTGAGTTTTGCCGACTTTTACACAAGCTCGCCGACTTGGGCTTGCATGACAACCTCAAAAAAATTATTCAAACAGCTAGAACTTTCTAGCTTATACACTTCACCGACTTAAACATTGCTAGAGGTATCTAGCACATTCATGCTATTATCTTATCATGGGGATTGACTTAACAAATGCTAGAATTGTCTAGCATGCTCCAGCCACCTTACTTGCTTACTAGAATAATCTAGAACATTTATTATGGGCTGGACCATATACCAACAATCTCCCCCTCCAGTCCATGAGGGAGGAATTCCGATCATGACTCCAAGTTACTTAGAGTCCATCCCAATAGCCTTAATGCATAATTCCAACTTTGATTTTATGACTACCTTTGTCAAAATGTCTGAGAAATTATTATCGGTATAAATCTTCTTCAACTGTAGCAACTTGTTCTTGATAGCATTTCTAATCCAGTGATAACGAATATCAATGTGCTTGGTACGTGAATGATATATATGCAATGTTCTTGCTCAAATCCAGAGCACTCTGACTATCACAATAAACGTCATAATCACTTTGCTTCAAACCCAACTCTTGGAGAAACCACTTCAGCCACAACAACTCTTTGCATGCTTCTGTAGCGGCTATGTATTCAGCCTCGATTGTGGACAAAGCAACACACTTTTACAACTTGGATTGCCAAGACACGACTCCCCCTGCAAAAGTAAACAAGTACCCAGACGTAGACTTTCCATTATCCAAGTCACTGCCCATGTCAGCATCTATAAATCCTTCCAAGATTGGTTTGGAATTGCCAAAGCACAAGCACATCTTAGAAGTCTCTTTCAAATATTTGAGAATCCACTTAATAGCTTCCCAGTGGTCATTTCCTGGATTAGAGAGAAACCTGCTCACCACACTTACTGCATGAGCAATATATGGCCATGTGCACACCATTGCATACATGATACTTCCTACTGCTGAAGAGTATGGAACAACTACCATTTTCTCATTTTCTTCATATATTTTTGGACACGACTCTTTGCTTAACTTGATATGATTGGATAAAGTGAGCTTACCGGTTTGGCTGCTTTCATGTTGAACTTGTCAAGCACCCGTTCAACGTACTTTTCTTGTGAAAGCCACAACTTCTTGGATTTTCTGTCACGAATTATCTCCATGCCCAAAATCTGCTTGGTTGGCCCTAAGTCTTTCATGTCAAAGGACTTAGATAACTCTTCTTTGAGCTTTTTAATCATAGAAGCATCTTGGCCGACAATCAACACGTCATTAACATAAAGCAATAAAATGATGAATTTACCTCCAAAAAATTATTTGATATAGACACAAGAGTCAGCATGAGTTCTCTTGTACCCATTACTCACCATGAATGAATTGAACTTCTTATTCTATTGTCTTGGAGCCTGCTTAAGACCATATAAGCTTTTCTTCAGCTTGCACACCAAATTTTCTTTACCTTTGACTTCAAAGCCTTCGGGTATATCTCCTCTTCTAAATTGTCGTGGAGAAATGCAATTTTAACGTCTAACTGCTTAAGATCAAGTTCCATACTTGCTGCCATACCAAGGATAACTCGAATAGAAGTCATCTTCACCACCAGTGAGAAAATCTCATAAAGTCAACTCTTTTTTTCTTGACCAAAACCTTTGACAACCAAACGAGCCTTGTACCTTGTCATGTTGTCGTCTCTTTTCAATTTGAACACCCACTTGTTTTTCAATGGTTTTCTGCCCTTTGGAAGCTCCACCAACTCATAGGTATCATTCTTTAATAAGGAATCCATTTATGACTCCATTGCCTTCATCCATATATCACTGTCGTTATGAGCTTTGGCCTCCTCATAAGTTTCGGGCTCTCCATAATTAGTCAACATGATATTCTTTGATGAAGAATACTTGGTAGATGGTCTTCGACTTCTGTTAGATCTTCTGAGCTAGTCTTCATTCTCTTACGGGGCTGGAGGCTCCCCCTGATTAGGTTCCCCTTGAATCTGCTATTTAGGCTCCCCTTGATCAGCAATTTCATGGTCTAGCTCATCTTGATCAGGCTCCCCCTGATCAGCATTATATGGTTCTGCAAACACTTCATTAGCAGCTGTTTCATGGATGTTAGCGTGACTTTATTCATTTGAAGCTAATGGATCAACTCCTCTGACTGCGCCATTTAGTTGTGCCTCTCTATCCGAATCCCCAATTGTTTGATCTTCATAAAAGATCACATCTCTGCTTTTAATAAACTTCTTCTGGTATGGGTTCCATAATCTGTAACCAAAATCTTCACCGTCATAACAAAGAAAGATGCACGGTGTAGTTTTGTAGTCTAACTTCGATCTCTGCTCTTTGGGCACATGCACAAAAGCTTTGCAACCAAACACCTTCAGATGAGAGTAAGACACATCATTACTAGTCCATACTCTCTCTGAAACATCAAAACCTAATGGTACTAATGGACATCGGTTGATCAAATAGGAAGTTGTCCTCACAACTTCACCCTAGAACTATTTAGATAACTTTGCAGTCCTCAGTATGGATGGGCAAAATACCCATGGGTTTCGGTAACTGCGATTACCCACTCATTTAAAGTTCATGGTTACGGTTATGGGTAACCGTTTGGACGAATAAACGGTTATGGATATAACCATTTATCCGTGAAATTTAAATGGGCGGTTATGGTTATTATCCGTGTTATAACGGATATCCATCGGTTATGGGTATTACCCACAGCTATACATGTATCCATTTACCCATTTAATTTAATATATGAAATTTTTTTAAAACAAATTATCACAAGTGTTCGAAATTAAAAAAGAAATAAAAGGACTTGATAGCGTAAATATTTTTTTTCCAAATTTACCCCTGACAGAACCTACAATTATTCTGGGAGGGACTTTGAACACCCAGACACACACACATACACAAAACAACAAAAATAAAATAATTTAAAAAAAAAGTAACTGACAATGGTGGGTGTGGAAAATGAGGCAACACCAAAAGCCCCATATGCAATTGAAAAAGCTTGGTTAGGTTCTGTCAGGGGTAAATTTGGAAGAAATTTTTTTTACTGTTAGTTGGGCTTTTAATTCAGTCCGTGAGATATTTTTTAATGGCTTTTAATACATCAAAACATTTACTGTTAGGTTATACGGTTATACAGGTATTACCCGCAGTTATAACGAGTCGATGATATTTTGTCATTGAATGTGTTCGAAAGTGTTTAGTTTCGGAATATTTTGGAGCTTTGAATCATCTAGTATTCAAGATAATGACTACTTTTTGTTTTTAGAAGCTTTACTTTGTAATCATAGGGATTATAATTAAAGACTTACTTGGGTGTAGCAGAAAAATATCGTTCGTAAACTATTATTTCAATTTATTGGAATTGTATGAAGACTTAAATGATTAAAATAAGGAAATGCATGCTAAAATTTACCTATAACGGTGTTTAATTTTCAAAAAACGAAAATTATGACAAATTTTTCTTTTGTAATTTTCAAGTTATTAAAAAAACATGTAGACGGGTGAAAAATGGGTAAAATGGGTAAAAAAAGGATAAACGGGTTAAAAAACGAGTAAACGGGTAAATGGTTATAGGTAGGCCTGGCAATTCCTAACACGACCCGATAACCCGACACGACACGACATGAAATTAACAGGTGTTCGGGTCGACACGATAACGAATCGGGTGTTATCAGGTAACCCAATAAACATCTGTTACGATAACGGATTGGTTCGGGTATACACGTGGGTAACACGATACACGATAAGCAAAATATTAATTTTATAATTTTATAACCCTAAAAAATACTATAATAATTATATATATTAATTTAACAATTTTATACCCCTAAAAAGTTTAAAACTATAATAATTATATATACTATAATAATTATACCCCCAAAATATTAACTATAATAATTATATATATATATATATATATATTAAATTTTATACCACTAAAAACTATAATAATTATACATATATATATATATATATATATATACACCATTGAACTTGATGGGATACACGAAACTAATTTCAACGATCCAA